GTGTGTGTGTGTGTGTGTGTGTGTGTGTGTGTGTGTGTGTGTGTGTGTAATAAACTATATATATATATATAAATTAAATTGTGAAAGAAATATTTATAATGTCTTTGTTATCACTCATATTATTTTATATTATGTTATTGCACCGCAGAATTTATATACAAATATGTATGTATGTATGTACGTACTCTACATATGCACGCAAATTAATTATATTATTCTGAAATATCTTCCTTGCATGTTTGACTATTTACTATCAAAGAACAATTGTTTTTAGAGTGCACGAATTTACGAGATAATATATAACAAATATGACGGTAGAGTTCTACTTTACTCTCGTTTCTAAAGTAAGATCGTATCTTTGTCCAATAGGAGAACGTATATTTCATGTTTATGAAATGCGATAATCCATATATCCACATTGATTTAGTATATAATATTTTATATGTCATTTGTTTTCACAAAATCCAAGATTTGAAGTAATATCGCAATGTATGACAAGTTAATATTACAGAATAGTACGTTACAAAATATATAAATAAAAAAAATAGAATGTAATTGATATAACAAATAAAGGAATAAAGGCATAAGTTGACGATCACGAAATATCGAGAAACCGATGATTGCAACATCTTCGAAAGGAAGCCCCGATAATCAATCAAACATGGACGTGATTGAATCACTGTAACCGATGTTCCTATCAGAAACTGATTACAATTTCATTAACACTGACAGTTGTTACATAGTTGCACAATTACATAGTTATCAAGACTTTTCTGTATTTCAAACGATTCATCTTGTTAGCAATTATCGTAATAAACATAATGACATATTCATAGATATCCTTAACTTAGAGAGAACAAAAACTCGAATATCAAAATAATGAATATAAATTCATATTCATCTTAAATAAATAAATCTTTTTCAAAATACTAACTAATTAAACTTTTTAAAGATAATTCTCTATAATAGATCATCCATAATCATCCATACTAATAATCATGCATATGAAGCAAATTAATTCTTTTCTTAAAATCTAACGTATAAAATAAATTCTTTAATGAATAAAAGTAAACTCAAAAGTAAATTTACTTGTTTTATTTCTCCCTAATTTTAATTCTAACAAAAATTCTATATAAAATTCTATGGAAAATGTCAATGCAGTATGCAGAAACTTTAATTACGTAATATTTAATTACAAATATAATTTTAATTATACAAATATGTCTCATTAGAAATATCAAATATCTGCATGTAAATGTTATTTTTATAAATGTGATATCAAGTCTAAGTTAAACTTGACAATTTTAACGCAGAGGCGTCATTTAATCTGTGTCTATATGGCGTATGCGTCTGATTATACATAAACATGCATCACTTGTACTGTCTGCGACTTGGTTGACTCGGTGAATTCAATCCGTTCTTTTATAAATCATCATCGAGCTCTTTTATAAAAATATATCCGTTTCTATTGTTTACTTTTTGCCTTAAGATATTTTTATACTTTTGATTTAATTTTGATTTTTTAATTTTTTGCACACTTATTTAAAGGATTTATTACGTGCATGATATCTAATTTGTAATGTTATCTGTAGCAACTTTGTAGTATAATAAACGCAAGACTCCTAACAAACGATGAAAAAAAGCCATTATGCTTCGGTGAATTACACGAAGTTGCAACGAGTTTTGGAATATTGTAACGCTGATGAACAAAGTGCGCTATTACAGTTTGCAAGTTTTAATACTCGCAAAGTCTTTTCGATTAATTCCGGAACGTTAAATAAATTAGAATACCAATCAAAAAGTTCTCGATGTTGAAACAACTTTTAAGAAGTTTATTTGTATTTTCAAATAGCTGTCGATAATTCTCTGCTGTATAATTTAAAAGAGACTTAATCCTAAAGAAGAGATCTAAACAAGGTAAACCCAATCAGAGTTCTATTCAACAAGATTTTCCAGCGATTTCAGTTCTAGCAAAACAGATATCTGTTTTAATAAAACTTTCTATGCTGGGTGATAAATTTTAACTAGGAAACTTGATTCATACATGAACATATAAAATACACAATATTCATAACTATATTTTAATGTGTCAAAACTTTTATTTAAGAATAATTGATATGTAAATATAGCTTGGAAAGCTATATAGCTTTATCCTGTTTTAAAGAACGTGATACGTAATAAAACATAAATTATTATCTACTTTTTACATAACATATATGTATATAAGTTGTGCAAAAAAGTATATAATATATAAAAAAATTATTTAAATCTTTTTTTCAAAAATATAGTGTATTGTAAAAATTTATTTCCAATGTATATTTATTTTTGACAATTACAAAGCATCATTTTATTGCGCGTACATACTAAACAATATTAAAAAAATAAGAGAGCATTTCTATCTTCAAAAACATTTGTTTTGTTTAAAAAAACAGATTTCTGTTCACGTCTCGTGAAGGTTAAAAAAAATACAAATATACAAATATAAAAATAAAGAGATAAATCTTTTTATAATTGAGAAGGTATTCCATTAAAAGCTTTTTATCAGCTAGTTATATCAAAGTCAGTAACGAAAAATTAATTAAGTTGGTTGACATTTTCAAAATTTTTATTTTATTTTTTTCATTTTCTTTATATAAGCACGCGACGCAAGTATATTAATTGCATTTTCTGAAGAAAAATGTATTAACCAAATGTATTAATCATTAACCACTGTAAAAAGTGAATTTATAAATTGCAATGTATATACATACTACTCTTTTGTACTTTTTTATATATCTTTTTTTATATCTAGTAGTTCGGTATTTGCATTAAAATGTAAAATACATTTGGTTGTTTACATTATAAATAATAGATAATAAACATCATTTTTGTCGCTGTTGCGCAGAAAAATTAAATATAATTTCGGATCTATAGGCTATATGATGATCCAGATAAACGCAAATGTTCAAAAATATCATAAAGACATGTAAAGACATTTAAAAGATAAGTCTTAAATTTTTGCAACATCTCTTTCTCTGAACATCTCTTTCTCTTCTCTAGACATCTCTCGAGTTCTTAATGTTTCTGAGTTGCATTTGAAGCAGATTTATTATAACTTGCAGATTGCGACTCAACACACAAAAAAGGAATCAAACTGTAACTCACCACCATCGTCGAAGTAGGGAATGGCGAAGCTCATGTCGGCCAAAACGACCAACAAAAGAGACAACCATAGCAACCAAGACCTCATGCCTCAGGATATGCCCGGTCAGCTTACAATTCGACTCGCGTTCACGAAAATCCGGTAGAGATATAACGCAAATGTCCGTTCCGCACCTCCCGCTTGTCCTCCGTTCCGGAAAGGAATCTCACCCTCGGCTCACCACCGAGTACTGGAGTGCGAGTGAGGGTTCCACCACGATCGTGGCGCTTATATAGACGCGGGAGGCGTGGCGATGCGCCCCCACGAGAATATGTAGAAGCAAAAGCTTGAGCTGCTGGATCAGACGCGAAGTTTTCCATGCGCGCTCCGGTATGCGCCATTTGATCACGCGTTACAGGAACATCCCCTTCAACGGACAGAGGGATAAGATCGTTTTCGACTGCCGTCTGCTCGTATTTTTCGACAAAAACTCGGAGAGGAGCAACTGGTTGGGAAGCAAAGTATCTAGATTGTTCTCTTCTTCTCTTCTTCTCTTCTTCTTCAGCCTCTTTCTTATTCTTCTTTGTATCTTTCTTCTTCTTTTCTAATTTCGCAAGTTTTAAAACGATTCAACTATTTGCCTTTAATAGTTAGACGAGAATCTAAATTTTAGAGATGTCATAATTAAAAACAGAATATACATCTTGAGCCATAACTTGTGATAAACTGCACAAAGTGAGTAATTTGTAACCGAATACCAAAATAGAAATAAAGGAACGCGATATACTTATGTTATATTATTGTTAAATATTTCATTCTGGTTTATAATTTATATTTATATTATACTGTATATTATACTTTAGTATTCGTTAATATAAACACGAGTTCGATTCATATCATATTTTTTCTACTTTTTTTATATAGAAAGGATGAAAAGGGAAAATGCTCGCTCTATTTAAAATTTTTATTCTCTATTCTCACATTTCTATCTTCTCTGTATGAAATGATTTTTATCAAAATAGTTAAAAACTACGTTATGTGGTTATGTCGTTATGTAAACTGGCCATTGATTGAACTATCTAGCAGCATAATATTTTAAAAGAAAAAAAACATTTGTTTACTATAAATGATATAAAATTAAATAATAAGTTTTTTTAATAAACTATTTATTAATATTAGTTGAAATTTAGAAACACATAGACTTTATGGCTGCTTAGAAACTATTCAGGTTGAGATAATCGCTTTGAATTTTAGTGATAGAAATCATAGACGTGTCTATCCATATAACGAAAGGATAATTAGTTCAATCTTCTCGTCCTTGATAAGCAATTTGGCAAATCGCTGTAATTTGTTCATTATAGGATTGTTGTTGAATACGGATTTAATAAAAATTTGTTTACCAGACATAACCCTTCTAGTTTGCTTGAGTTTCCGACGGAGATGATAGTGGAAATCAGCAAACATTCGCAATTCAGATTAAATGTATTTGAAAATTTGAATCTTATTAAACTATTTAAGACTGGATTCTGAGGATTCTGTATACAATAAAGAAAGAAACATATATCGCTGCTTCTCTCCATGTTTTATTCAATAAAAATATTTTAAAAAAACATTACATATTTTTAACAAGAAGAAAACTTAAAACTTTATCTTATAATTAATAAATATAATTATAATTAATAAATATAATTATAATTAATATTTATAATTATATTATATATATTAAAAATTTGAAAAGCTAAAATTCGAAATATATTGCACTTTACTTAAATTACAATAAACATATAAAACTATAATTTAGATAAAGAATAAGTTCATGTTATTCATTTATCTTTTTCTGCAACTTAGTTTATGAAGAAATCTTCGAATCTTTAATAATTTATAATTAATGTAATGCATGCCTCAATATTTGTATCATAATGATTTCTCTTATAGGTTAATAAAAAAAGAAACGCGCATGAGAACAAATATATACATCAAAATCATTTGTTTGTATGTAAAGTAATTTCACTTTCCGGCCCCCGTTAGGTGACAAAATAATGATTTCTCACTGGTGGCGTTTCAAGAACGTCATCATGACCGTCATGTTATACATTCGGCATTGTTCGACCAGAATGCGCAATTTACTTTATTCACGCAAAGCAGTTCTGAGCGTCGACTGCAGCTGTAACGGACGTGAATCGCTGCGACAAACTCGAAAGCTGCGACACGCGACAGCCTCGCAAAAGCCTGAACGAAACAAAACTCTGTACATTATGCAAAACATAATGGTTCAAAGTACTTGTGTCGTATCTTGCGATGCAACAAAGTAAATTTGTTGAGTTTGTCCTGCCTTAAGAATTTAAACTCAAAATGGAAAGACGGGAATAGGTGGACAATAGAACTCATCGTCTTTTCATAGCATTACTTATTACCGTAAATTATAAGATTAAATTTACAAGACTCGCAGTGCAATACTGAATCAATCAAATACGATTGTTCAATTATGAACTTTTCAATTACAACTTTCGCACACTCTTATATAATAATATATAATAATATATAATTTTTATATTTAATGAAAATTATGAAAAACTTACAAATTATTCTAAATAAACCACGTTTAAAAATAATAATAATAATATAATAATACAAAAATAAAATATTTATAATTATTTTTAATAAATTACCACGCACCAATAATAGCGTTTGACTCTTACTTACTTGCCTTCTAATTTGCATTTTCATTGTAATTTTCGAAAATCATTGACGATATATAATTTGCTAATTTAAAAATAAAATATAACTAAAAATAAAACTGGTGATTTTGGAACTTGGATCAAAAATTATTTAAGTAAATAAGTAGAAGTATGCTTTAAGAAAAATATAATTAAAAAATAATGACAGAAATCTCTATCTCTTTATATAAGTATTTTAAGTATTCAAGCTAATTCATTCATAAAAAAGTAGTTTCATTGCGATGCAGAAATTAATTGGTCTGAAAATAAAATTTAATTTCATTTGTATCACCACTTTTTTAAAACTTTAATTTTTATTTACCAATTAATAGACCAATTAATTTCTGCATCGCAATGAAACTTTATTTTTTTTATATGTATAAATTATGATCTTGAATACTTATATAAAATACTTATATTATATAAAAAGATAGGTTTTTGTCATTATTTCTTAATTAGATTTTTATTAAAGCTTATTTCTACTTTTTATTTATTTAAATAATTTTTTATCCAGATTCCAAATTGTCACAAAACTTTTTATATTATTTTTAAGTACAATTTAAAATAATTTATAATTTTTTTATAATTCCTTTATTATATATATAAATGCGACACATTTTTAATTTTATATTGTCTTTTTTTATAGTATCTCTAAATTTGAGATACTAATTTCAAAATAAAACTTATATTTCGAGGATATATTTTTAAAGGATAGAATGTATTTTACATTGTCAAGATATTTTTCATGATATATTAATACGAGATTCATGCATGAGGTAATAATAAATATAATAATAATAATAATAATAATAATAATAATAATAATAAATATAAGGATTCAAAATATGAGGAGGACAAGGTATTAAAGATATCTTTTATAAACTCAGTGTTTTTCTTTAAAAAGTATAAGACTTCTTCTTTATATCTCGTGTATATAGGAGGAGGTACTTGACGTTACAGATGTATCATCAGATGTAGCATTTAGTATATATCAATTATTCTTAAAACGAAATATAATCAAGAGCAATGTTCCGCACTCTGTCATAAACGATGCATATTATTATAATCTAATATATTTGTACCACAATAAGTTGTATTCTCTCCTCAATAGAGAACTCCTGATTTTGAATAACATTAACTCTTTTATTTTGTCTTGATATTTGTGCTCCTTGCACAATTAAGATTTTTATTTCAATGCGTATCTCCAATTTTTGGCAATAGAAGATGTACGAATCAAAGTATAGATTCCATTTTATCGCGCATGGTTTTATACAATTGATTAAATGATTTCGTGATAGCTACAAACTCCTTAATGTTTATAATGAACTCCATTGTGGCTAACTCCATAATGAGTACTGATTGACTTTTGTTCATTTTGTATCAATGTAAATTAATTTTAATCTTGGAGTTTAACTTGCTTGCTATATTGATAGAAATGGACATCTGTCGATGAATCGACAATTATTATATAATTACTCTTTGCACAAGTCAGAAGAAGACTCTCATTACATATGCTATGGTCATTGCTATGGTCATCGGAAACGCAATAGCCGAAGTTCATCGCGCATATGAATTTTACAACATTCTTCACGTAGCATAATATTGCCGTATGGATTAATTTTTTAAACAAACTAATACTCGATTCCATTAACGTAGATTAACTTTAATCTCGGTTCAACTTATTCTTTATTTTTTTTAAGAATTAGAAAAAGATGAAGTTGAATCGAGATTAAAGTAATTCTATGTTGGTGGAATCGGGCACAAGTTTCACTGCTTTTGGAGTGCAACAGCAGAAAAAAGTAACAACAAGATTCGAGTTAATTTTTGCAAATAATTTACATACGATTTAACGTATGAGAAGATTAAAACAAAAAGGATAAATAAAAAATAATTAACAAATCAAAAATAATTTTAAAATATTTCGGTGATATTAATGAATAGTAATCAATTAAGAAAATAAAGAATATACATAATATAAGAATATTTATTATTAAATTGTACATGAATTGTACATGAATGTATACATCAAGAAAACATCAGTGGTTTCTTAGAAAGTTTATTTAGAAAGTAATTAGAAAGACATCATGTAATTTTAGGAATAATATGTAATTTTCATAGAATTTATATCTCATATACTCGTTTGAAGAAATAAATACATAAACTATCGCACATTTCTACCTAGTTTGTAGTTCTTCTTTTCATGAAAATTAAACTCGTATTGTTCCAATTCATATTTCCAATATATCCACTCTATCTCGTGTCTTTCTGCATTCTCTTCTAAGATTAAAATAATATGATACATTTCTCTTTTACATGTACAACATTGATGTAATTTAAAAACTTACTTGGATATTCGCCTTCGTTATTAAGTTTCTAAATTGCATTCAGAAAGTTAGCAACGCTAAGAGTTACAGAGAAGTTGTCGCCTAAACCAGATACGGGAAATATAATGAAATGGTCGACAATGTATCCATTATTCAGAACCTTACTTTGATCACATAACCAAATGCCTTTGTGATAACTGAGTTCCAATATTTACTTAAGAACAATAC